TTTTACTACCCCTCGATAAATTATTTTTGCATTTGGCTCATGTACCAATCATATTATGCACACATTATGAACCATATAGGTACAGTTTCTGACTGCTAAATTGCTGGATGGGCAATGTATATAGTCACAATCGATTTGTGGATATTCTTTCATCTCTCTCTTACTTTACATACCGAATGGAATTCATCTGAAGTACACTGAACTCTTGGGCGCCCTGAGGAAGAACACCAATACACTGTAGTTGTTTTTGTACTTATATTTTTCACTAATCTTTTTTTTTTTTTTTGGTGATTTGGCCTTTGTGCAGATAAAAAAGTTGAACTCATATGTAGCTTTGAGAAAGACGTAAGTTCTTTTTTATAGTTTGTCTACATTATGGGAAATAATGTTGTAGCTTCATTAAATCAACATTTGAAGAAAACCCGGTGCTTAATATGTGCATAAAGTTACATTCTTTTGGTCCTAATGGGATTGAGTTTTGCATTTACATGGTTCTCATGTTAATGTGTTGTTACTTGTTAGTCACCATTATACATGTTTGAGTTTGAGTAGCAAGTCATTGAGATGTTAAGGATACTGGATTGAGTATGCGAAACATGCTTGCTCTTAGTAGGACTTAGACTAGACACCATTTCAGCATTGGATTTACTGAACCACTGTTCTAGGAAACATCCTCGGGGTAACAATTTCATTTGTCATATTAAATGCAAGTGAAATGATGCATGAGGTAGAAGTATCAAAAAATTTACAATCCTTCGTCTACAATTCGGGTAAAACAGTAGTTAAAAAATAAATTAGAACGGTAATTTAAAAGTACATCCAAATTAAAATTCATTATAGACTAAACTCGAGTTGGTGCAACACCTGCACATTAAGCAACCAACACAATACATGGTTTAAATAGACTAAATTTGAGTAGGTCGTGTGCATTTCTTCTTACATTTATACTTTCCAAAAAAAAAAGGGTATGTGTATTTTTAAATATCGACAAATATTAGTTATAATTATAAACTGGACTAGAGTCGGCTGTGCGTGCACAGCCATTCGGCCAACTAGTTTTATATATAAACACACCTTTACTATGTTGTACTAAAACATTTTTTAGCATGTTATATAACTGATTTGATAAATGGAAATATTAAAATTATTATCATGGATAATATCATTTTATTATAAAAAATAACTAGATAGTTATTAATATATACAATAGAATGTCAAATCAAAATATGATTGGTTGAATAGGAATATTTTGTTTTACACACGGTGTTGTTGTATGAAATTTTAACAACCAGAGTGAACTATGTTCTCCACGAAATACTTAGTTCAATTGGAGCGAATAAGAAGATTTTCCTATTTTGGTACAAATAGAAATTTTGTTCGTAACTTGCGTGTATTTTTTATCACTGAATATAATATTCTCCCTACATTAAATGCTGCCTCGTTTCTTTTTATAGGAAACTTGAGGCATTTTGTATAATCTTTTCTTGAATTTTTATTTTTTATATACCTTAAGATATTATGACACATCGCAATTTTTGATGTAAAAATCAAATGAAATATTTATATGTTATATATTATATTGTTTGTTGATTTTTTTTATGTAAAAATCAAATCGAAATATTTATATATTATATAATATATTAAATGCTTCATACTTCGCTGGTTGAATCTCGATACGGCTGAGACCTTTGACTTTCAACATGTGTCCCAATAGATTTAGCGCCCTAGGATCGTAAACTCTCGTGTCACATCACCTGTCAATGGATATTGTACTGATTCGTATAAACCGAACATCCGTTTACACTTACCATCTCTCTCTTGTTGGTCCAAGCTGTTTGATAGATGGAAGTGATTCTTACTCGTTTCGTAGTTACAGGCGTTTCACCTTTGCAAACCCCTTTGGGTACGAGCTCGAATAAATCGTTATCGACTCGGTCTGCATCCTAATGGTTCAGTCTTCACTTTGTACATACTCCGTACACACCGATCTTAAAATGTATTAATTTTTTCACCAGGCTCACTAAGAATGTAAACTTTTTACTTATAAGTAAAATGCGAACGTTTCTTCGTAGTTTTAATGGAAGATACAATGCATTCGCACAATTGTCGCATAGCGCCGTTTGTACTTTCGGGGGTGAAAAAAATAATTTAGAATCGAGCGGTATGAATATCATATTCAAAGTGTAAATAACTATTTTATCAACTAAATATATCATATGTGAAAGATCTGATAATATATAGATTCATTAACTTGTAATGTGTATTTATAGTTTAGGTTAGTTAACTATTTTATAATTTTAAAATTCTCAGTAGTAATGAGTACATGTCTAAATTTATTATGGATTACTTCGAAACTTCATATTGAACAGTTGGATCGCGAATTGTTCCAGTTAGGCGTGTTTGTGTTCTGGCAGTTTTTGGACCGACGCCTAGAAGTGTGGTCCAGTCTGTTGAGGTGGTCGAGCGGTTGCCGTCGTCATGTTGCTCTTGTTGTGTTTTGCCAACTGAGGGATTGGCTTTGCCTAGCCTTTAGTTTGTTTTTAGTTGTTTTGTGTTTTGGTGGTGTGTTGTTTTGTGCTTGTGTTTTTGTGTTTGGATGTGGTGTAATTGATGTTATATATTGTTGCGCTTTGTGTTTCTCCGTAGCGGAGTTTCTTTCTCCAGTTGTGGGGTTGGAATTTATTCTGTTTATTGTATGTGCCTGTACTTTGTTCTAGTGTAGGTTCTAGGCGATCTTCGAATTTGTCTTCTCAATAGATTAGGCTCTAGAGCTGCTCTATTCAGCTGTTGGGGCTGTTTTCTAGATGTAATTATGTATTTCTCTATAAAATTTATATAGTTCTGGAAAAAAAAATCGTGAATCACAACACATTAGATTAATATTTAGTGCATACATATGTTTTAATCATAAATTTGTTAATATTTATTATCCGGTTCAACAATTGACCAATGACACAGAGACCTGCTTGGATCAATTCCCGGGGCGGGTTTAAAATAACAGACTTACAAGATTTTAAATGTTTTGAATATACAATATTTTTGTTTTTATAATTAATATTCTTGTTTTGTATTATAGTTATACAATAAAAAAAACAACATTCTGGTTTATATACAAATTAAATTATTTATATTTATATTATACATTTACATATAGTCAAAAAAATAATACACATGTTATCCAATTTAAATTTTTAAATATCACATACGTACATATAATATTTTTTTATCAAGAAAAAATATAAAATAAATCAACACCATGTAGTTTTGATTTGTAGCAGACTTGCGAGTTGTTACAGAATCTATACTTATATAATAAGGTATTATATTTATCAAATTTAGTAGGTTGAAAAGTCAACTTAACTAATTCATTGCTATTTCTATTCATAATTTTATTTAATTATTTTACTTATTTGTCTTATCACATAAAATCAGTTTAAGAAAAAAAAATCCCATAACATCGTTAAAAAAAAAGACGTAAAATCTTTACTAAAATATTTTTTTTTATTATTTGTCTTATTCCATATTAGCATCGATTTTGTCAAAGTAAATCCCATAAAATCGGTGAAGTCAAAAATTATACATAAAGTCTTATCTATTTAAAACAAAAAGACAGATTCAAAATTACTTATCTAATTCCTTCTTTTCCTTATCTAATTTCTTCTTATTATCTAATTGTATGGAAATCTGTTATAATTTTGTTCAATCCTCTAATTATATTTGTATTATATCCCATAAAATCGGTTTAACAAAAAAACCCCATAACATCCGATAAATAAAAAAAAAGTACGTAAAATTTTTACTAAGGCTTCATTTATTATCTAATTGTATGGAAATCTGTTATGATTTTGTTCAAACCGATTTCTGTATATTCAAATTCAGATTTTCTAATAAAAATATTAACATGAATATATATCTACTTTACCATTATAAATTGCGAATCTCAAATTATCGAGCTACCATATTCCTCACTTTCAACCTCCTGCGAACAAAAAATATCCCCAAACAGTATTTTATTCAAAACAATGAATCAAGGAGTTGGGTTAATCAAACAAGTCAATAAGTCTAATAGACTTATGCTCAAAGTTCAAATTGTGAGAATGTTTTTCCAAGACTGGGGCAGCACATACAAATCATATCTCGAGTTGGTTCTGCATGATAAAACTGTAAGCCAAATTATTTGATTTTTGTTTTAATTTCAAAATTTGAAATGTATATTTTAATATTTTTCGTGTACGTATTTAAATATTTTTGTACATGTTTAGTGAAATATATTTTCGATTTTTTTAATTATATTTTCAGATTTGCAATTTGGCTTATTTATTCTACATATCATGTATGTATTTAGATATTTACATTATTTATATTTATTTTCGTGTATTGTAAAACTTTTATTGAATAATGCATTTTGTAGTATAATAATCCCCAAATAAATATATTCCGTGTCTCGCACAGGTCACGTACTATATATATCCCGTACATTTTCTTTATTCATTTATATAATTACAAGGTTGGATAAATAACATTAAAATTGTGTATCTGTGCGCACGGGCTCTGTACTAGTTATTACTTAATAAATTATTACGTAATAAATACTCATTCGCAAGCAGATTGCCTTCTCATCTGTCGTTCACTCGCCCCGTCCAAACCCTAATTCTCTCTGTGGCCTGCTTGGTTCGTCTCGGTAAATTCGAAAATCTCGAACTTTTTTCATCTGTTGTTAATTTGGCGACACTATACTGGTTATCCTTCTAATTTTTCATTTTATTTTGTTTTTAATAGGAAGATTATTTGATTTCTGTTTCATGAATTTCATTGCTAACTTCTAGTTTTATGGGTCCTTATATCCACTTTATGTGAAGTGGATTGTTCCTGACCTTTTTTTACGGCTTAAATTGTAAACCCTTTGGGTAAATTTCGGGGTTTTGTTTGATCTTAATATTCCCGCTTTGTAAACTGTTTCAGTCCTTATAAGTTGTGTGCTTGAACTTTATCTAGCAAGAATGAGTCGCTCGAGCAGAACCCTTTATGTCGGTAACCTTCCAGGTGACATTCGTGAGCGCGAGGTGGAAGATCTGTTTTACAAGGTCATTCCTCTTTGAAAAGTTGATTTATTTATGTTAAGTAGTTCATAGAACTGACAGCTTCTACTGTACATTTGCTTGACTGTCATTTTCATTTGCTTGACTGTCATTTTATTCGTTTTAATTGATGTAGTATGGAAGAATTGTGCACATCGATTTGAAAGTCCCGCCCAGGCCTCCGGGTTATGCATTTGTTGAGGTACTTTGGGTTCATTTTGGCTTCCTGTTGTTGAATGTCTGGCCTGTTCCTTAAAAGTAATATTCTTGTTTAATGACAGTTTGAAGACGAACGTGATGCTGATGATGCCATTCGAGCGCGTGATGGCTATGACTTTGACGGGCATCGTCTACGGGTCAGTTGTGTTTCTGCCACTTAGGGGGTGATTTGATATAAGTTATTTTGGTTTTGATTGATTTTGTTGGATAACGAGAGTTAATTTTGATAAAGATGATTGAGTTAGATGAGTAGAATTTTGAGTTTGTATTAAAATAATATTAAAAATATAATAGTTAAAGATGATTTGATTTAAAAGTAGAAGAGAGGTGATTAGAAGTGATGAGTGGTTAAATAATGTGAGTGGATAAATAGTGAATTAAAATTGATGTGATGTGTTAGGATAATTGATTGATATTATTTAGTTGGATTGGGTTAAATTTGAGTTAAATTTGAGGATGGTTGGATTGGGTTAAATTTGAGTTAAAAAAAAAATTGACTGTTATCTGTATGGCCTTACATTTTTGCTCCCTTTGTTAGTACCATTTTAAAATCTACTAGTGTTATCCAATTACACAGGTTGAGCTTGCACATGGTGGGCGTGGACACTCTTCCTCGAGAGATCGTTATAGCGGCAGTCGGGGTCCCCGTGGTGGAGTGTCCAGGCGGTCAGAATACAGAGGTGATGCTATATTTAACATGTGAATATCACATAAATTTGATTCTATTTACATTTTCACAACTCTTGTCTCATTTGAATTCGATTTTCAGTTTTGGTCACTGGCTTGCCTCATTCTGCTTCATGGCAAGATCTCAAGGTACGCATCATATTAACTACGTGATATGCTTAATTGGCCTGCTAATTCTATATTGTTGTAACAACATGAAGCTGGCTCGATGCTGATGTTATTGACTTATTGTCCTTATGATTTCTGTCTAGGATCATATGCGTCAAGCTGGGGATGTTTGCTTTTCACAAGTTTTCCAAGAGGGGAAAGGTAGCTCTGTGTGTTTCTATGCCCTCCCTGTGATGCTGTTTCTTATTATTTTATAATATGTGGTCACCTTTTCTCTGGGCTATCAAAGATGGACATTTTACTGCTTAGTTGTTGTAGGAGGATTCTTACAGTGCTACGATTTCTCTTTGTGTAGGAACTACAGGGATAGTGGACTACACAAATTATGATGACATGAAGTATGCTGTAAGTATTTTTTTTTTTTTCGTCTGCCATTTATGTTTCGCTTATTTAAAAAAATTAAAATATATGTTGGTCTTAATGGCCAAAAACTGTTGTTCTATCCATCCTAGATGTGGAATCTGAAACATTCATCCGATTTTTTTTTTTTTTAATTATGCTTCTTTTACTTGTAGATCAAGAAGCTCGATGATTCTGAGTTTCGCAATGCTTTCTCCAGTAGTAGAATCCGTGTATGTATCAATGTCTCAAGTGTAGAGTGGTTTATTTTCAGACAACACATACACTTTTGAACAACTTACTTTAATCTCTTAGGTAAAAGAATATGATTCTAGCCGTTCGAGAAGCCGAAGCCGTAGTCGCAGCCCGCCATACTCTAAAGGAAGAAGCAATGGTCGGAGCAGCAGGAGCAGGAGTAGGAGTCTGAGCCATAGTCCGAGCAGGAGCAGAAGGTTAATTTCTTTTCATTAACTTTTTTTTTCTTTCCTGTTCTTTCTTGGTTTGACTTCATTCAGTTTCATACAAATTGTCATTTTCTACTTCAGCAAATCGCCGTTGAGAAAACCGTCGCGCCACTCGAGATCTCGTTCGAGGTCTGTGTCTCCGTCTCGTTCTGGGTTGAAAGCACGCTCTGTGTCAAGGTACGTAACTTGATTTATTTTGTTTCTGTTTTTTTTCTTTAAATCTGAGGGAAGGGCTTATCCACTGTTTTCATTATCTTTTGTAAGAGTAAGTGCAAATGCACAGATGGTTTTTACTCATGATACATGGGAATTTGATGAATGTGCAAAATGGTGGTACTAGTTCTCCATCTATTGGCATTGGGTGTATTTAAGCACTTGGTCAGAGAAGTTTCTGTGGATATTGTGTGATCCTAATGCCTCTTCGGAGCCATATCTTCAATGGTGGGGACCTCAAAGTTATGAAGACAGTTAATGAAGGAGTCAACACAAGAAATTCAAACCTCTGATATATCAATGAAAATTCGACTCTGAAACTGGTCATTAGAAGTTTCATCTTCCTTTTTTTTTCTCTCTCATTGCAACTGGGGTTTAGTGTTCAGGCATTAAAATTTTTCTTGATATCTCGTATTTGTTTCTAGGCAGGTCTTTGAGTATATACTGAGATTTTAGTCCATACGGTAATCAGATTCCTAGGATTATTCATTCCGGTAAGTGGTGTCTCAAGATATGGGCCAGCTTTACACATGCACAAACCAAACCATAGTAATGACAGCTGAAATTTAACAGTCAAATTGTATAATTCACTTTGTACTGTGAGGCTTCAGTACGGCATGTTAGGAAATATATTTCCTGTCACGAAGTCATCAATTCTGTTTATTTTTTTGTAGATTTGCAGTTACCTTTTGCTGTTTCTAGATATGGATATATGCACAATCTGGGGATTTTGTATATTAGGATCTTGTTGTGGGTTTTTGGTTCAATTGGCATCCCACTCTATTGGTTTGTGAGGTATGGTGTTATATTAATGGTTCACTTTAGCATATCCTTCACGATGTCTCTATTCTAATGAGCACGCCAAATGTCCAATGGGTGCTAGATTGGGAAAATTGGGGACACGAAGATCATGGATTACTATGGTGAAGCTGGACATTGAACAAATTGGGCATTTGAATAAAGGAATCTCCTTTTTGCGTGGATACATTTTAAGTTGGTTCGATTTTACTATTGGTCTTTCAAAAGTGGAATTATAAAGAGCGTTGGAGCTAATAAGGTTTCTGTTTCTTTTTTCGTTCTAGATTTTGCCTACTTAAGTTGGATCTTTCTAATATTTATTTAATTTGCCTTTTTGCCTCGCATGTCTTTTGCTTAATGGGTTACTGAGTTTCTTCTTATTCATTTTGGTCACGGTCACTCTGATGTGGATGTGTGGCAACGAGGCTCTTGGATCAATGTTGTTACGAGGAAATTAGTAGATTTTAAACTTGGGTTATTCTGGAAATTTTTGCAGATCTCCTTCAAGGTCAAGATCCCCAAAAGCATCTGTAAGTTCAATCCTTGATTTTGATCAGCTGATGCTCAATCAAATTTTGTAACTCATGATTTCTTTTTAGAGCATGTTTGTTTACAAAATAATGTATTCACATTCAATTCATACTTAAAATCTAACTCAACTATAACCTAACCCCGCTATCCTTAATATTATGGATATAATTAAATAATACAAATCATTCATTCTTACACATCACCTCAAAGTTTAATTCATTACTCACTACTCACATAATTTTAACTAACTATCATATCACATAATTTCTCTTCTACTTTTACATCAAGACAACTTTAATAGTTTCATTTTAAATATTATTTTAATATAAAATGAAAATCCCACTAACAATTAACCATCCAACTTTTTCAAAGTTAACACTGATATAATGAAAAACTCATCTTGGACCGGTTTTTTTCTTCTTTTTTTTTTTTTTCATA